TCAACGTGATTTTGTTATCCAATTCGTATCACCAATATGTTAAGTGACATTAAATGTCATTCCGATGATGATTAAAAATAATTTAATAAATGTTAAAACAACAATAGAACAATCATTATTATCCACGTGTGAAAAATTGGGCAACGAATTACCATAATGAATGAAACAGTATGCTGATAATGAAAACATTAAAATGAAATTAAGAAATGATTTTATAGAAGAAAAACAAAAACACCTAGAAACATCGAATCTCAGTAGTAATTCTCAGCCAATCCCGCAACGATGGTTAAGGCAGAGATTTCTAAATTTTCGCCCCATGCTTCCTCATTTTATTCCCACCGTTAAAAACAAGAATAAAGGATTTGACATCGACTATCCTCTTTCCCTTTCTTCTTCATTCTTGTCGATCTTTGATTTTCATCTTTTATCCGATATTGTAAAGGAATGGTACACTTTTCCTGCTCTTTCTGCTTGCTTTTCGTGTTGGACGAATCACGATTATTCGTGTTCATGTTCTTCGATTTCTAATTTTAACTTCCTATTATTCAATATACGAGGATTGGAAGCATGCTGACATGAAGTTCTTCTTTTACACGAGAAATACGAGGTAGACTGTCTGATATTAGTAGAAATAGGAGTAATTGAATATTTGTCAATACAAAAGATCTTACCCAACCTCAAGATCTTTTATCAAAAAGAGAAAAACGCCTGGGGAGGAATGTTAATATTGATTTGAAATAGCATACCATGCGAGAGAATAATGTGCAACATTCCAAATGTATGTGTTGTAGATATAAAATCTGAGAAATCATTCAGAATCATTGATGTATACGCTCACAGTAGAAAATCATGGAAATGGGAAGATATATCGCAATTTGCTGCTGGCTATTACTGTTTCGCAGGTGACTTTAATGTTGATATTGAAGATAAAGATGATACGACAGTAGCAAATGAACTTCTTAACTGGTCTAATTTCCTATCACTAGGTCCAATTCTTCGGTGCTCCCAAACCTCTGTTCGTTCAGGGAGTACAATCGATTATGCTTTTACTAGGGGAATTCCCTTATCACTACAAGTAACTGATGCCAATTCAACTAGTGATCACAAATCTATCATAGGAGTGATCATCTATGACTCTAATGAAAATATGATAATTAGCAGTACCCACTGAAGAGTATGCAATATTTTTCTTTCCCTCGTTTCTGATTTTTTGAATCAGCAGTGGCAATACCCTAATTTCGACAATAACTACACGAATTTTGTTACTTTTCTAAATAGATTGAAAGCTCATTGCACGTTATACTTTCCAATTAAAAAATATCGGGCTGCCATTTTCAAAGACTTACGATAAAAACTCTCATATGTAAGAGCTCTTTCGTTTCAACATAAAAGAACAGGATACTATTCACTATATCTAACGATCAACGAGTTGGAAAAGAACAATAAACAAGAACTTATAACCTTGCGATTAAATCAGCTCAACATAATAATGAAGAATCGATATGCTTTCAATTCATTATCATCCTCTACACTTTTTTGGTCTAAGTTAAGAAAGAATTTCAAAAATTCTAGTTCCCTAAATGCTTCAATAGATGATAAAAGTACAACAATAAAAGATGTTAACACAATGCTTGAGATAGCTGCTTCTCACTATGAGAAGTTATTTATTGAACCACAAATATATCGCCCTCATCCATATGTAGATAGTCCTGAGATTTTATGGGATAATCATGATGATCCTATTCCCCTCATTAAGCTGCCAGAATTATTAACAGCCGTGTCCAAACAAAAGAAAAAACAGTCTTGCGATGCTAATGGAATCTCTTTCTTCTTGTTTCAATTCATTTCGTCCAATTACTGGGCAAATCTACTTAAACCGTTCAATCACTCGATCTTCTCATTCTTCTTCCCTTCATATTGGAAACAGGTTAGAATGAAGCTATTAGCAAAATAGATCCGGCGTGTCGGATTGTTAATACTCGTCCTATCTCTTTGCTGTACGTCTTTCTTAAAGTGCTAGAGAAGCTAGTATTGAATCGATTTCAGACCGTGCTAAATAATAGAGAAATTCTCTATGAATTACAATCAGGTTTTAGATCGAATATGCGTTTACAATCACGCGTACTTCTCCTAATCGATCAGATCTCCGCACTGATGTATACTAGTGTACCTACTACTATCCTATTTATTGACTTTAAGCAAGCGTTTGACCAATTCTGATGGGTAGGATGCCTAGGAAAATTAGAGAGATTAGGTATACCAAAAGCGTACGTCAGGTGAATATATGCATGGCTAAGAGGCCGCAAAGACTTCGTAGAGATAAATGATAAAAGGTCAAGATCCTTTCCTATTCTACGAGAAGATCCATAAGGATCCTGTTTAACACCATCTATTTTCACCACTTATCATAGTGATATGTAGACGTTTCTGGAGAATTCTTCATCCAATTTCTTTGCGGATGATCTAGCTTGTGTAGTTGGAGGAGTGATGGGCGTGAAATGCACTCAACAGTGTACCGATCTAGAAATACGCCTTAAGAAACTGGTCGATCAACTTAAATACTACTCGGTGCTATCAGTGCAACCCATAAATTACACAAAAACTGAAGCCATGTGAAGTGCACGAGCGATAGGATGGCCAAAATTTGATATATCCTGCGGTGAACATAATCTTGTATGGGTTAACTCATTTAAATATTTAGGGTACCATATCTGCCCCAAATTAGGATGGACGAAAATGATTATGACCATGAAAACGAAAATTCGTCAACGAATAGCTATCATTAAGAATTGTCGGATAGCTGGAACATCCAATCCTGAATTTAGAAGAATCTTGTTCTCAGCGTATGTGCTTCCACTTGTTACCTGGCTTTTCGCTATTTTCGCACTTTTAACTAGTTATCAAGCTGATGATCTGAATCATTTCTATTTCTCTTGTCTAAAAAAAGTTACGGATGATTATTATTGGAACGATTTTCTTTTTTCTCTGTTACTCAATGAGATATCCCTGGATGATAGCTGTTACAATTATTGGAAGAACTTTACAAGCGCCTTCCAAACATCAACCGATGGCCATCTGGACTGTGAGTGTGGGGTGTAGAGCTCGTCGGGTCCAATATTTTTGGATCCGGATCCGTTTACAGTTTGCTACAATCGTATCCGGAGCCAGATCCGCTTGTTTAAAAAATGTTGGACCCGAAGTCGACCCGGACTCGGTCGCTTAAATTATTTGGATTCAAACACGATGATAAATCAGTCTCGATAATATATTCAAAAAGTCTTTTGTTGCTTCATTGTATATTTTCTAAATACATTCAATTTTTTTTCTTCATAAAACGAACAAAATTTTGAAAAAATTCACAATACATTGTATGCATCAAAGTTTTCTTCAGAGTTGGACCCGAACCAGACTTGGTCACAGGAAAATGTTCAGATCCGGCCAAAACGAAATTTTTAGACCTGGACCTGGACCCGAGCGGATCTGGGTCGAGTACGGATCCTATCCGACGAGCTCTAGTGGGGTGTGGGTGACAGCATTCATCATTCTTACACCTACACCAACACTCACACCCACCCACATCCACATCCAAACCCACACCCACATTCTCAGAAAGTTTGTTGAATTATAGAATCGATGTACTCAGTTGATTGTATAAAAAAGTGAATGTAAATAATCATCGTATTCTGATTTTTCTACATTCAAACTATACATATAATCATATTGAAATATCTTCCTCTGAGCACAGCAAGAGCAGCCTATATTGTAAATATGTTAGTTTGGCGGTGAAAACTCCAGTTTGACTTGAATATATCTAATATTATTCACTAACACCACAAACATCTCCATTGTTAGAGCAAACTAAAAGTAGTGCTTTTTGCATATAAAACTTTGTAGCATAGAGTTCATCAAGTTTTTTTGCTTCAACAATTATTTGAAATAGTAGTTATGCTTACTCAGGAGCAATCTATTTGTTTGAAGACATTTTGGTGAAACAATCATTTGAATCATGTTGATTTTTAAAATCCATCAACGAAGTTACAGAACTGAATGTAGTGATTTGGCGGTTGAGAATAGGAACATTTGATTGATTAAGTTCATCAGTCGAAGATGGATAGAGCACCCTGACAACTATGTAGTATTTTGCGCATAGTAAGATGAAGTGGGTAGAAAATAATCATGATACCTTTTGATGCGAAATAGTAAAAAAGACACTTTTATGAATATATATGGTTGGATATTGCCACAATATCTTTCGATATGTTGAGTGTTAGTCAATGATGTTTGCTTTCACATACAATTGATAAGCAGCTTAAACCAATTATTAATATAGTATTGTTGATTAGAACTGTTTCTTCTTACTGCAGCCAATGAAGATTTTACGCTTTAGATCTTTCTAATGCGAGGAATTTGAACTGATTTATCTGTGGCATATCTACAACTTGTCATCCACTACCATGTCGTATATTCACTATATTCTTTAGTCAACTATGTTCAACAAAATGTAATCGATCGAAATAGTTCCTAATCGTTAATTGGGTACTGTAACTAAGATAATGAATTTTCTAATTAAAGATGACTCAAAAGATACATTCAACAAATATCTTCACACAAATTCGTTGCGCATGAATAAGCATGGCTACCAGTTCAAAAACTTGATTAATTCTATTCTACAAGGTTTTATCTGCAAAAATCATTACATTTATATGCGCTAAGTATTGAAAAGTTAATAAATTTACTGGATTTAGTTTTCAGTTGTGTATAATGCATTTCAGCTAAACTTGAAGAAAGTCATGGTTTAGAAGAACGTATTATGAACCTAGTGTAAAAATTTTTCTTCCTTAATAATCATCACTTATTACATGGATAATCAAAATTCATTTGATTTCGTATAATTTACCTTATATAGATAACAAATATTTATTTAGTTTTAATAAAATTTTAACATTAATAAATTGTATAATGGAAACAAAACAAAAAAAAATTTTCAAATCGTATTAATTTTATTTCCAAATATATAAATACCAGTTATCCATTCGCCATTTAACTTTAATCCATTGTGAAGATAGTAGTATTGGTTCAAGATCTTGTTTTATTTGATCTGACAATGTTTGACATACACAAATTTTAATTGATATTAAATTATTCTTATATTTAGGTGATAATAAAAAATTCAGAATTTGTCGACATTCATTACTTGTTGTTACATTCATTTGTAAATGTTCTAATTGAGGTATTAAATGAATAATTAAATATTGAATTTCTTTCCATGATACACATTCACTTATAAGAGAAAGAATTTTTATATTTGATAATAAAAAATAAGGACGAAGTTGAGACCAAGCTATATCAAGTGAATGAAGGGACATCAAAGTAAATAATTGATTAAAATTAAATAATGATGTTTGAGTATTTATTATTAAATGACGAACTGATGGCAGACAAACAAGAGATGATATTATATTTGGTGATATAATACATTTATTAGTTTCATTATTTGAAAATAATGTCAAATGCTTTACATGGCGACAAGAAGGAATATTTGTATTAATAGAAAATTCAGATAGATTTATTCGAACTCGTTCAACACGATCATAAATTTCTAAAGAAAAATGAATTAAATATTATTTTCAATTGTTGTCGTATTAAATCAGGATACAAAAGTGACAAGAGATCGGAAGATATTGTATAATATTAATTATTTACAAGAAAAAAAAGATCTTTGATCAATCTCAGTGGATAAGAGAAGTAATCTTTCATTTTTAATAACAATTGTAAAATCATTTATGCTCCACTATCCATTTCAAAATATAATGGGCTGTACTGTTTCTTCAATAACTTTTGATAGAAACATCCTAGAGAGCTGTGGTTCTCACTATTCAAGAGATAAGACTCAGGACCATCGAAATATATCGAAATTTGATTGATCAGCAATTGATCAAAAAGGTGAATTTTTGATGGAGATTTTTGAAAACGATATTCAGAAGCTATTTTTCTTTTGATTGAAACTCGTAACAGAGCTAATCCATAGAAAAAATTCTTCTTTTCCAATTCACACAAGGCCGACATTAGTAGCTTGTTTCATTCGAGAGTTATAAGTCTTTTTCTGAGAACATCGATTTCATTCAATTGATCCGTAACCATCCGAAAAAGCAGCTAGGCATAGGTAATTCACCATGGTGAGTCGAATAGTGATATTTATGTTTAGTTCGAAGTGATCCGACGCTCTTATTTCAATATTTTAGAAATGTCGACTTCTTCGTTATATGGAGACTGATTGTAGAATTTCAGAAATGCTGAGATAATAGTGTCAGATCAGTTCGAATCTAAAAACAAACATCACCATTAGGCTCAGAATGGTGAATTATCGCTGTCTAGCTATTTGTTTCGGTGATCACAGATCAGTTGGCTGAAAGCCTTATAACTTTTGAACAGAAGAACCTAAAAATATCGGTCTTGCGTAAATCAAAAGAGAAGAATTTTTGTTATTGATTGGTTTTATTAAAAGTATGAATCAAAATGAAAATAGCTTCAGAATATCGTTTGCGAAAATCTCCATCAAGGATTCACCTGATTGGTCAATTGCTAACTAAACAAATCTCGATGGACTTGAGTGTTCTTTCTTGAATGGTCAACACTACAAATCTATATGGTGTTTCTAGCAAAAGTTATTTGACAAACAGAGGAACAAATTATATTTTGAAATAGATAGTAGATAGATCAACATTCAGAAAAACAAAGTATCTTAATATTCAATAAAGTATTAAAAGTTTATTCTTTTTTTTTTAGTGATAATTACCTTCATCAGGTATATGTTTACTATTAACACTCAAATTATGAACTTTGTTCCACTGAACAAATGGTAAATTAAGTACTTTATCAGGATAGGGTGTAGTATGTAAAATTAATGATCGACGTGAATTTTTATTATTAGTTATTTCTTGAACAGCAGTAACAAGATCATTGTTGAAATCACCATGTGTAATATTAATATTGGCTGATAAACCTTTTCGAATAAATTGAAAACGACTAAGTTTACTAGATAATTGTATGAATGTATTCATGTCTTCATTCGATTTTCCATATGAATGATAAATTAATGATTGTAATCGTGGTAGGTGAGAAAGTAATTGAGAATCAATCAAAGTCAAAGTAACACCACTGCCTTGTAAATCGATATTCAAATGAGTCAATGGAGATGTAAATAAAGAAGAAAATTGAATTCCTGATGATCGAGTGTAGACACAAGCTGAAAATAATCATTTATATATGATTATTGAAAAAACAAAAAAAGGTTAAATTCATTTTGACTGGCAAAGTAACCATACGAAGTAATACACCTTTTCTTGAATCCATATTTTTTATATATGTAAAGAACATTGAGACTAAAATACATGTGCAATAACTTGGACTTCAAACATCCTATTTCTAAGTTACGGCTATTTTATTGAATTTTTCCCTTTTAACCAAGTTACTTTCGAACAAATTGAATTAAAATGGTTTGATCAGAAATTTGTCCATAGGTTGATCCAACTGATAGTAAAATATCCCAAAATTTTCAACGAAAAAACAATAGTGTTTGTCTCAAGATATCGAACTCAAAGAAATCTTAAACATTATGCTTTTTCTTCGACGATTGATTAAGTTTTTGCAAGTTCAAAATCTCTACATAAACACTATTCATTTTTGTTGAAAATTTTAGAATATTCTAGCTTTGGTTGAACTAATCTATGAACAAATTTTAGATCAATTCACTTTAATTCCATTTATTCGAAAAGAAACTTGTTAAAAGGAAAAATTCAGTAAAATAATCGTAACTTAGAAAGAAAATGCCATGAGTAAAGACCGTCGAATCTAATATTTTCGAATCCCGAACTTGCTTTATTGAACGATTTTTGATCATACGCCTGGTTGATCAAACTTTTTCGAACCAAGTGGAATCGCACTTTGATAGTCTCAATGAAATCCTCCAATCGGAATTGGATAGTTGCCCGACAATATGAGATACTGTTTTCTTTTTTTCTTTTGTATTCAGTGATTAGTGCACTCTACATATTTCTCAGACGAATAGAACCGATCGGCTCCAAAATTTTCGGACGCGGACCCGGTTAACAGAAAGTTTTTAGATTCAGACTCGATGGACTTTAGCCATGGCTCCAATTTATTTCACAAATGTTCCAATCTAAATATTTCTCACCTATATTAGAAATATGGACTCAAACAAGGTGAATTACTTCGTATGGTTTTCTCATGAACTTATATATTTCTTTATAAGATTAGTTTAAATCTTCTTACTTTTAAGTTTAGTCAAACATGGCAAAGCTTGAAGTAAAACTAATAAATCATTAGGAAAACTTTTAATAGCCATATGAAGTTGTTCAATAGTTGTTGATGATATATGAGAACATGTTGTATTATCAAATGCATAACCACCAATAAGATAACATTGTTTTAATGATGTCGATCGAAGTGCTAATTGATAAAATTTCAATGCATATTTAGCTTTTTTATGAAATTTAATATATAATTTTTCAAGATAAGGTGGTAGACAATCAATTTCATTACCAATAATATCATCTAAATGTAATGAACGTAATCGAAGAAATTTTTCAGGACGAAAATAATCTGTTGAAAAAAATTCAGTAATTAATAAACCATGTGAATATTGATTTGTTAAACGAAGAAAAACAATTTGTGATGGAGAACAATATGTTAAAATAAGTAAAAAACGAGCATATGATGTATATGTTAAATCAAGAGATAAATCAATATCAGATATTAAATGTGATATACGAGAATTTGATAATGGAAGAAATGAAGTATAAAGATCAGATGGATGAAGATATGAAAATATTTCAAGTAATAATTCTGATGGAAGATTTTCTAATAACATTATATCTATAATAAAAACAAAAAAAAGCTTGAGTTTATTTAAAGAAAAATTAATAGAACTCTACAAACTTTTTTTTCTTCAAGAAAACGTATCAAATGACATCAACATTGACCTCTCTCGGTTGCACCAGACAGGCATTTATTTCAACACTTCTTCTTTGTTACCATTGCTTATTTTTTCTACAACAAGATATTATATATATAGTTTTAGTAAAACATGGATCAAGAAAAGCATATCATAAATAAACTTTTAGTTCCAATATTCTAGTTAATCGAACAATCTATTCTTTCTACTTTTTTAATACGAAATTCACAAACAATTGTCAATGATAGACAGTATGGTGGTGTCACGAGGGGGGGGGGGGAAGAGGTCAAAGAGGGGCTGAACTTCTATGGAACTTTCTGAAGACAGGAAAATTTTTAAAGTTGTTGCTAACGGTAATCCCACAGGAAATCTGTGAGGAACTCAGCTACGTCCATTCCGTGGCTAAAAATCCTGGCACCGATGCTAATAGACAGATCAGACTATTTTTCTACGACTGAATAAAACAATACCCAAAGTATACCAATTCTAAATATTTAATAAAATATTTGAGATATTATTCAATAATTAAAATAACAGACTATTTATTCAAACAGTGTCTCCCACATAGTTATGACATTCTTTATTTCATCTATATATAAGAAAATTATCCAAACTTGCCGAAAAGATAAAACTTTATTCTATTTCTTTTGTTGCAATAGAAATATGACTTCAGTTGAATTATAAAAATTAGAAGATTTTAGAATTTGCTGATGCTAATACACAATCTCAATAAAATGTTTCTATAAAAATATATCTTAATATTTTTTCGAAACAATTCATTTGATCACCATTCAATATGGAAACATGTATATTATTTTCATTTCCTATCGCAAAGACGAGTATTGAAACCATAATCTAATTAATATGAATAACTTAGAAAATCTGTCGCCTGTTTGTTTTCTACATTTTACATCATTATTATTCTCTCTGGCTTGTTTAGAAGAAGGAAAAACAGCAAAAATTCCGTACTTCAGCGTAATTCAAGGATATGTCAAAGCTATCCTCTAGAACTGTTTAGCTATTTCAAGTCTATTATCAATGTGTGTCACGAGCATGTCAGTAAAGTACGATGAAATATTTAGGCTATATTATCAAACAGACTTATATACAAATAAACTTTAACTAATATGTTCGTGACACACGTTGATAGTAGACTTGAAATAGTTAAAAAATTCTAGAGAAAGCTGTGTTATACCCTTAGAGTATGCTGAAGTATGGAATTTTCACTTTTCCATCATCGTAAAGTAGAGCCCTGCGGTTCTCAAAGAATGGAACCAAGAATCGAATCGAGGCTGAAACTATTGGAACCGAAAATTTTTTTACTGATAACTAGAGTCATTTCGAGTGTAGGTGTAGATGTGTAGTGTGCGTTAGGATGTGGGGGGAAGAGACTATTAACAATCACATCAACATTCTTTCCAGTCTTTCTCTTTTTGTTTTATGTTTTCGAAAAATGAAAGATAGGAATTTCTAAAAACACTCTCATTAGTTATTTGATATACTATTAATAAATTACCGATTCCAAAGACACTTTTTAGATACCGAAAATGGAGCCGATCTTTTTCATTTTTACGAACAGGAGCCGAAACCGCAGGGTTCTATCGTAAAGTATCTTTTCTCATTCGACTTACACGAAGAACTCTTCATTCCATTTCCTATTTATATTTACTTGGACACTGTTTTCAAAATTTACTTACTGAAATATTAACTATTTTACCTTCAACTTATGATTAAACAATTTTTTTTTAACCATAAAATAATCTGAAAGCACAAAGTTCGAAGATTTTCTAATTTCGGTTTTTCCAATATCCTATTAAACAAAATAAAATTTCTCATCATACCAAATAAGTATCAGAAAAATCTTTTTATAATACAAAAAAAAATGAAAACAAAAAAGATAATGTTGTTGTTATTGCTGCTGTTCATATTCACTTGGTAACCAATGATTGAGTCCACTAATAATCCAAGTATCATCGTTAGCATTTTTACTCATATCGCGTAAAAATTTATAATTACAAACAACAATATTATTACGCATTTTTTTCATTGTAGCTGCCCAATTTGCAACAGAATCACCTTTAGCATGAAGCACTTCTTGTTGATATGAATTACGATCTTTTAAAACATGAAAAATCATTGTTATTTCAACTAAACGACTATCTAAAACAATTATAAAATAAAATTTAAGTTTGAATAAAAGAAGAATGATTTGTTTAGTTTTTACTTATTTGTTCATCCATAATCATACCAATTAAATATGGATATGAAAAAACAATTTCAGATTCCTCAATAGGAATCTTTTGTTTTTGTTCTGAAGTTAAATTTTCATAATTTTTTTTGACTTCATCGATAACCTAATTCATTAGTCTTATTATGATTTTTGTTTTGTTTATTTAAAGTTTAATTTTCTACCTGTTGTGTAACTAAACCTGATAGATCATCGAATTGATTATTACCAATAAGATGTGAAACAACTGTTAATGCTTGTCGTGCACCATCAGAAAATGGTTTTATAGCAAATGTTGAATCAAAATATCCACTTATAATCATTCGAGAAAAAAAATTTCTTATTGTATAAAATAAATTTGGATAGACTATACGAGGAAGATCCATTAACATCAGTGGACGAGGATTAGTAGAAGTATAACGTAGATGATTTAATGATAAGAGTTTAGGTGAATAATTCAAAACAGAAGTTAAGAGTGATCGTGATGAACGACTAATTATAAAAGCCATCTAGAAAAAAATATTTGATTGTTTTCTGAATAAATACAAAATCGAACCTCATGAACTGTAAAGAAATCATTTCTTTACAGTTCATGAAGAGAAAATCTATTGAACGACAATATTTTATATTTCTTAAATTTACTTTACAGATAAACGATTGTATTCTTCTTTTGAATTGAGAAGATGGTCTTGAAAAAAAAATGAAATTAATAGTTAGTACATTGATTAAGTAGAATAATAATAAGATCCAATTACAAATTTGATCAAAACTTTCTTCAATAGATGGCGTAATATTATCAATCGATTATTAAAATTCATTTTTAATTTATTTTATAGAGAATTTATACTAAATGAATAAATTTATAATAGGTATACAACTCATATTATGACATTCTAATAAAGATTCGGAGAAATGGATACGTCTACAGGTAATTTTTCTTATCTTTTGTATAGAGATACCTTGTTCATACAGATGAACCGTACTGGAAACGAAAACGATCAGTTCTCTACTTGTCTACATGATTTTTCTACAAGAAAGATATTTGTGACTGAACAGATTGCAATATATCAACAAGGTATTTAGAACAATAATTTTAAGTTTTATGCAAGCATAACCTTTATCAAAGCAAGAGTCGAGATCTAAAAGACTTCATCTCGTTCATGTCTATTTCTTCAACATCAAGAAAAAACGTAAGACAAGAATTATTATATATTTCAACAAGATACCAATGGAAAGTATTACTAAAGATATGCTGAGTAATCCTACCTTACTTTGCAGCATAACGGTAGAGTTAGACTGAGAAAAATGTAGGATTAGGTTATGGTAAAACAATTTTTTTTAACAAGAGAAGATTCTCAAATGCAAGTCTCTTCCATGTTCAATCGGTTTTATGTCAATTTGTAGAACTTAGTGAGTTGATCACAATGGCAGAAAAGTGTTCTTCTCCATAGAGTGTTTTTGCGGAGTTTGGTCGATTTCAACATCGGAAAAATAGCTGTAAGTTATTATTTCAGAAATTTTATTTTTTATGTTAATTTCATTCTCAGTATGCAAAGCTTGACCACTGAATGCATCTTAATTGATTGTACACATCCACACAATAAATATAAATAGAAGCCTTAACTATGTCTCTGCTTTGAATATTTTAATACCAGTAATATTGTGGATATAGGAAATCGAATAATTTTTTTTCAAAATTGATGAAGATTCTCTTGGAACACTATTTTAAAGACAAATTAATTAAAGCCTTGCTAGATATTTCTTTTTTCAATAGTCTACATTCTATTCAGTTGTTTTCTCACATGTTTATGTGAAAAAATATAGTAGATAAGGCAGATTATTGTAACATGATCAATATGGTTTTTCTAAATAAATGTCCTAAATTGGTATTAGATGAATTTTGAAAAAGACAGCTGAAATCCGTACTTTCACAGTGTTAATGGTATCCAAATATTCAAAGTATAGATGTAGTTAGGATTTCTATTTATGTTGATTGTGTGGATGCGTATAGGTAATTAAAACGCATTCACTGTTAAAGCTTTCAATGCTGAAAATTCATATAAAAATTAAAACTTCCGAAATAACAGCTTACAGTCATTTTTCTGAAACTGAGATCGACCTAACTCCTCAAAGACATTCTATAGAGAAGAATGCTTTATGCCATCATGATTAGCTCATCAAGCTTCACGAACTGACATAAAGGTGATTGAAAAAGGAGACTCACTATTGAGGGATCTTCCTTCGTGAGATCAGGTAAAGGATACAAACACAGTTTCATCTGCATATTTCTAACTATTACTTATAGATATAGTATCTTCAAGTATTGATTTTAACGTAATATACTTTCGTTTTAGATAAACTACTAATTATAACTATTAGGATTATATGAATTATTTATTAGTTAAAAAACGAAGCTCAATTTTCAGCTGTTAAATAAACAATACGACAATGAATATCATCATTTTCACAAACAATCTTTTTAACATAAAAAGGTATATTAGGTTAAATAAGTGTTTCTTGTTCTTGTGATTGTCGACTTAATGATGATATATCAATACCATTAGCATGTCGTTGACGTTTAATATGTACAATAAATAAACATTTAACATTATCAGCTTGTTCAGCCATTGAACGATTTTTAGTTGCTAATAGGAACGTATCAATTTTGATACATAGATCTTGACTATCAAGATATTTATATAATTGTATTTTAATTTTATAAGCATCAGGTATTTGAAGAAAAGTAAACGAATACCACAAAAGAGAAGACAATCAATCTCGAATGAATGAGCTCGACAATCTCCAAATAAAGCAAAAAATGGACTAAATGATGATATTTTTGACATATCATTAGTT